AGCAGCAGCTGTGGAGACTATCTCCTTCCGAATATGGACACACTTCTATCGAAACTGTACTATTATTTTGTACACCTGATGGAATATCTGGGCGGAACAAAGCATGTGGAACGGTGACCAACGAGTAGTGGTAAATCCTTTACAGAATCACCGCTCACTTGTCCTAGAGTCTAAAGGAACGTAAACTAATTTTTAGCGTTGTTTTAACCGTTTCGTAGATTAGCATTTGTTTCTCTTCTCGGACTCAGTAAGGACCTAGCAGCGTAAACAAGACGTGTTCGACTTTTTTTTCCGGATGAACTCCGGAGACTGGTCGTGGGAGAGTTCGACGGTGGCAGTTGACATGGGGTAGGGAGGTGACCCAACAAACACTTGGCGCGAGAGAAGCGACGCGAAGAATGACTCTGGAAAGAATCTGTCAGTGACAGGTACCGTGGTTCATGTAACGCAGCATCTCCGTGGGCATCCAGCCAGAGAGCAGCGTGTAACCAGAGAGTCTCCCGAGCCGAGCTCTCAACGTCTTCTTTCCAATATGCTGGTCCATGAACAAATATTTCTTAATTATTTGTTTTAATCCGTCTGATCACAATATAATTTTTATTTAAAATTTCTTATAATTAAGATAATAAAATATCATTCATGTTCCTTATCGATTGATCGATTTACATTTCGGAACATTTACACAACATGTTTCGGTTTTTATAAAACCATCATCAGGTGTAAAATATATCTAAGAGCTTAAAACTCAATTATAATTTCTGTAGTTTTTTGGTGATGTTTCATTATATTTGTTTTTCCATATTTGGGCGAAGGTGTTGTTTTTTCTTAAATGTTATTAGATGTACATATCGGCCAAAGATGTAGGAGTGAGTGTCCCGATATGTCCAGAAGTACTAGTGTCTTCGAATAGGTGTGGGTCAATATTATCTTAATTATAAGAAATTTTAAATACAATTATATTGTGATCAGACGGATTAAAATAAATAATTGATATAATATTCACAATATGACGCAATTACACTATCTTGTTGAATAATACGCTGATCGGTAAATAACAAACTTGAAAGGATGTGCAGAGAAGTAGCAGTGGCCTATCCAGGTATTTGCCTGGAGCTACGGAGGAGAACCGAAAAATGTCAGGACAGCTGACCTCTGAGCGAAGATTTAAACTCACGACCTCCAGGAAACGAACCGGGAATGCTAACCATTCGGCGGCGATGTTCTGTCAGTTTCACGCAATATCAGAGTCTTGTTACCCGTTGGATGATAACGGACCCTGAGTCCTCACATAGCAGTGGCGCTTGAAAAATGTCTGATGTCTCACGCCAACTTATGACAGTTGTTCATTTGGTGACAAAAGTAGACATATAGAATTAACTGTCCCGAGATATCGGTTTCTACATTTAACCCTACAAATACACATTTATTTCAACACTGTTCTGCTAATTAGTATGACAGTAATATGAAATCGACCACACGCAATAATAACGGGCAATTGAAAAAGATTCTTGAAGAGATATTAATTGCATTCCCGCACGGTGGCATTCAATCAACTAACCCAACTGTGCTCCCTCATATTACAGTAGCAGCTACATGTTTCGACTTACATTCGGCATCTCCAGGCTGTTGACATTTACATGTGTGTACTAAATTATATGCACGTCCTATGCAAACCAACTTATTTGACAATTCCCGAAAATGGGTCAACTCAACAACATACATTTTTCAATATTTTGCTAATATAACTTTCAGTTAATAACAAGCTAAAATTAAAACCAAAGGAAATGCAAATTTGAATGATTAAATACAGAATGGGCTGTTCAAATCGTTGCGACAGGTTTAATAGACAGCAGACTAACTTTCTGCCTAAAACATGAGCCCAACTGATTCTGCGCTACAGTCACTAAATTCAAAGTTTCTAACGTGTCTCTTCCTCAGTTCGGACTCTCCAATACCCAGCAAATGTGTCTTATGTCACAGTCGGTCCCCTTGTTCTCTTACCTGTACGCGCCACTTGTCTCCCCTCCCCTCCGAAAGGGTGACTACCCTCTCTCAGAGAGACCGTCATTGTGTGAAGCTGTTCGCTTACCTTTCGTCACAGGTGCAGTGCATTATCGTGTTGATTCGCCAGTTAAACAGACCGTACTTCTCCTCGAACGCTGAGATGTGCAAGGGGCAGGCGGTGTCGTGAAGTCTGCAACACTTGTCGGCCATTCCGAAGCCTCCCAGATGAGTGTACTTCCGGGCAGTCCGTCCTTTCCCGCACCACTTTGTACCCGGAACCCGGAACAAATCCATCACCTCTCGTTTCCTCCTGAAAGGTCATGACCTATCTCTCTTACCTTACTTGGCCCTGACAGCTTCGTACTGGCCTGAAATTCTTAGCTGCAACATCGACAAGGAATATCCCACGAACGTCTTCGGAAATTTCGTCATCCCTTATACCCGGTGCTGTGATCCAGTGTTATTACTTCATAAATCAAATGAGAGGAGTTCAAGTATGTTAATTAATTATTTGTATCATTCAGTTGTGAGAGCAGGACATGAGAGCATCTACTGTGAACTGCGCGCTGAATGCTTGTGTCTTCGGGAAATACAGAAGATAAATAATACTGAAGGTGATAACGTGATTTCAAGTTATTAGAAACGGCGATCGATTAACATTTTAGATAAACCTTCAACCAAAGAGCCAAAAAGTAGCTCAGAAAATATACTTTTTTTAAATTCAGAATAAAATACGTAGCTGTCACTAAACGTCGTTTTATCCCGTTAAATAATTACCGACAGCATTCTCACTTCGGGGATTCCAAAAGGTCACTCTGTTTACTCTTTCAGACAATTATTTAAAGCTACTTTAAAGTTACGACTGGACGAAGAAATGCGTGGGTGTCAGATAACAGCCGATAAGAAATCGTGTCCGTTTACCTGCGTCCATAGCAAAGGAAGAAATACAATTCTCCGTGTTAAATCGCAAAAAAATTGAAAGAAACAAAAGAGATACGTCTCTGTCCAGTAACAAAGTGGATCACAAGCACACTTATCTCTCCCGGTGCCCCTCATCCCCGATAACTTATCCCAGACTGAACGACGTCTGTGGGAGATCCGTTGTCTCAGTCGCGCGCTGCACAGGAAGCTTGAGGTAACCGCGTGGACGGTGTTGGTACCTTCGATCGCAGTGACAGTGGCTGACTGCGAAGGGACGGTAGTTGAACAAGTGGTACTTGGAGGAGAACCCGGAGATCGAGTGAGGACAGAAATCATGGCTCCGGCAGCAACGATCCAAGCTGGACAATCCGCCGAGGTGCAGGTACTCGTCCGCGAGATGTTTGTGGCCGCACCATTTCGTTCCAGGTACTATAAATACGTCCGCGAGAGCACGCTTTGTCCTGTAATGCCGTAAAGGATCAGGGGTTTATTGTGGGTCGTGCGTCAGGGACATTTCTGTGTATTCGTGTGGAGGTTTAACAACACGACTAATCCTGCTTCGATGACCGTCAACGTGCATGCTGCAGAAGGGTTCGTGACGTAATTATCTGCGATTTCAGACATTTATTTAATTTGGTTTGAATATTGGTTTCCAGGTGCTTTTAAACGGTATTGAATTTCTGTGACTGTAAAATGCAAGGTCTCGGAACATAAATCGCGGAATTATTTCCCAGTCTGTTCAGGTTACAAGGATTAAGACTCTGTCCTCATTTCTTCCAGTTAGAAAATGCTGATAACACAAAGACCCTTATTTTACAGATCGGCCTATATAATTTTCTGAGTTGAAATATGTTGTAATTTATGCATGCGAGGTGCACCCTTACGATGGCTTATTCTTTTGACGTCCTCAGCAGCGACCGAAAGAGAACGGGATGTTGGTTTTACTGAACGCAGCTCAGAAGGACTTCCTTGAGAGACAATGAGCATTATTTTGGATTCCGCCCTGAGTAAGGTCGGGAAATGGACCGATCATGCATATCTCAATGCTAATGTTTTGTGCATCGGGAGATTACTTCGGAAATTTCGTCATCCCTTATACCCGGTGCTGTGATCCAGTGTTATTACTTCATAAATCAAATGAGAGGAGTTCAAGTATGTTAATTAATTATTTGTATCATTCAGTTGTGAGAGCAGGACATGAGAGCATCTACTGTGAACTGCGCGCTGAATGCTTGTGTCTTCGGGAAATACAGAAGATAAATAATACTGAAGGTGATAACGTGATTTCAAGTTATTAGAAACGGCGATCGATTAACATTTTAGATAAACCTTCAACCAAAGAGCCAAAAAGTAGCTCAGAAAATATACTTTTTTTAAATTCAGAATAAAATACGTAGCTGTCACTAAACGTCGTTTTATCCCGTTAAATAATTACCGACAGCATTCTCACTTCGGGGATTCCAAAAGGTCACTCTGTTTACTCTTTCAGACAATTATTTAAAGCTACTTTAAAGTTACGACTGGACGAAGAAATGCGTGGGTGTCAGATAACAGCCGATAAGAAATCGTGTCCGTTTACCTGCGTCCATAGCAAAGGAAGAAATACAATTCTCCGTGTTAAATCGCAAAAAAATTGAAAGAAACAAAAGAGATACGTCTCTGTCCAGTAACAAAGTGGATCACAAGCACACTTATCTCTCCCGGTGCCCCTCATCCCCGATAACTTATCCCAGACTGAACGACGTCTGTGGGAGATCCGTTGTCTCAGTCGCGCGCTGCACAGGAAGCTTGAGGTAACCGCGTGGACGGTGTTGGTACCTTCGATCGCAGTGACAGTGGCTGACTGCGAAGGGACGGTAGTTGAACAAGTGGTACTTGGAGGAGAACCCGGAGATCGAGTGAGGACAGAAATCATGGCTCCGGCAGCAACGATCCAAGCTGGACAATCCGCCGAGGTGCAGGTACTCGTCCGCGAGATGTTTGTGGCCGCACCATTTCGTTCCAGGTACTATAAATACGTCCGCGAGAGCACGCTTTGTCCTGTAATGCCGTAAAGGATCAGGGGTTTATTGTGGGTCGTGCGTCAGGGACATTTCTGTGTATTCGTGTGGAGGTTTAACAACACGACTAATCCTGCTTCGATGACCGTCAACGTGCATGCTGCAGAAGGGTTCGTGACGTAATTATCTGCGATTTCAGACATTTATTTAATTTGGTTTGAATATTGGTTTCCAGGTGCTTTTAAACGGTATTGAATTTCTGTGACTGTAAAATGCAAGGTCTCGGAACATAAATCGCGGAATTATTTCCCAGTCTGTTCAGGTTACAAGGATTAAGACTCTGTCCTCATTTCTTCCAGTTAGAAAATGCTGATAACACAAAGACCCTTATTTTACAGATCGGCCTATATAATTTTCTGAGTTGAAATATGTTGTAATTTATGCATGCGAGGTGCACCCTTACGATGGCTTATTCTTTTGACGTCCTCAGCAGCGACCGAAAGAGAACGGGATGTTGGTTTTACTGAACGCAGCTCAGAAGGACTTCCTTGAGAGACAATGAGCATTATTTTGGATTCCGCCCTGAGTAAGGTCGGGAAATGGACCGATCATGCATATCTCAATGCTAATGTTTTGTGCATCGGGAGATTATTGTCCAGAATGAAACTCAAAACTGAATGCCTCAACATTTAGTTACAATTCACAACACTGATATTTTAGTCTGACAAGACAAACATAAAACAGAACAAAATATGACAGTGGATGAGGAAACTGTGCGTTCCACATCTTCAACATTACGCTCTGGTACAAGGGAATAGAACAAGATTTAGAAGAAAGCAAAATCCAAACCCGAAAATACTTTTTATCAAGATCCTGAACTCCAGCCCTACTGTCAATGGCGGTTTTTTGATAAAAATGAGATATTGAGACTGATTATAAGAATATTCAGAAAATGACTCCCCCTTCCCCGTGCCTTTACAGTAGTAGCAAAACTAAGGATAGGGTAATTTCGGGATTTCCGAAAAAAGGAAACTACATTGTAAAAGAGTTGACCAGCAACTTGTGAAAGAAACCAAATTTTCCTTCGATCTCGTTGTAAGAATAAAAAAAAAAAACAATTGAACGCCTCGATGCCAAACTAAAAAAAAACAATTGAACGCCTCAATGCCAAATGCTAAAACACCTAACGCAGATTAGGCAAGAAAATTCAAATATTTACCGTGCCAAAGCTATGTTCGGAACTGTCTTTTGCCTGAGTATTCGATTTCGGCCACAAGACACTTCTGGTGGTGATTGTATTTCAGGCTTCCGGTGACTGGTTGTCATGTTACCGGCCGGGGTCTTTCATTTGTGCATTCTAAGATCATTAGCAGCAGTTGGAATCGAACCCGGGGAATTTCAGTACCAGGTCACTACGCTATATACTAAATGAATAGAATAAATACACCAGAAGACGGGAGTAGGGTAAGTCCTGAAACGTCGCGTATCTACAGCCGTACGCCGATGGAACCGCTGTGGGTTGTGGTCTTATGGGTTGTGACGCCGCCGCGTATTCTGGTAGATGATTAAAAATGTTTCGCATGAAGATGAAGGCGACATGTTCCTCGGTAACATTGATGATTATCTACGAGACTACACGGCGTCACAACCCATAAGACCGCAATCCACATTTTTATCGACGTGAACATTTCAAATGTAGAATCAGTCACTTCTGGCTTACCCGCCTTCCAGTAAACGTACTACAACGATTGAAAGACGAGGCCTGTCTCCGACTTCAGAGCAAAAGTCAGGCGGTCCACGTGGTGACAGGGACGAGGGAAGGCGGTCTTCTGGGCGAAGTGACTTACAAAGAAGTCGGTGGCATTACAGGAAAAGTTCCATAGGCCAATAGCAGCGTCGGTGATGTCGAGGGGATTATTTTCCGTCGAGAAGCGGTCCCTTAAGCTTCCTGAGAATAATTTCGCGCAGATGGAAAGCTGTCACGGCCGAAACAAACAGCAGACCGCATGCACTACGCCATTTTAAAGCCATGGGTGGCCAATATGCACAAAGCAAGGTCTGGATCTTTTTATGTAGCTTAAGGACGAGGGTTTCTTTCCTTCTACAAATCTCATGACAGATCAGAACACGACAAAAGTGTCTATTTTATTTATAGCTGAATCTAATCTGTAGATTCCAGTCCTTGATCTAAAAAAAACAAAACATATTGGCCACCAGTTGCATGTTCATGAACAATAAACAAGTCAGAGAATCGTGTTCTCAATTGTTTCGCTGAAATGGAGTGCCCAGGAAGAAGAGAGTAAAATGACGCCAACCGCTGGTTATTCGGGGGGCAAGTCAGGGGTCAGCCACTTTGGAATCACCGAGTTTAACAAAATGGCCGACACAC